CTTTCTTCTGATTCTCCTTGGCGCCTTCTTATTGCTGTCTTTCAACAAAAACCCTGATCTTCTGGTAAAAAAAGAGCTACACCTAGTCTTTTCGGTTAAGGGCAAAAAATCTCGGAGGTCCTGTGTGCAAGTTGTGAATGTTAAAGATCCCTTGGTGGTCTAAAATCGATCAGAGTAGGCTTTGGCAGCCACCCTGGCAAAATTCAAAATTTCCTACCAACTGAAAAAGTTTAAAATGTCTCGCGCGCTCATATGACCTCATGCTGTTGCGAGCATCGTAAAACACTTACACACACACACACACACACACACACACACACACACACACACACACACACACACACACACACACACACACACACACACACACACACACACACACACACACATATATATATATATATATATATATATGTTTTTAATAATTTTGTTTTAAAAAATTTAAAAATTATATATATACACATGTATAAGTTTTGACTCAGACACACATACCAACTGTCCCAGACTCGATGAAAACAATTAATAACTTTTCCAATTTTGCACGGATCTACACCAAATTGGGAAGAATTATGTTTGATCATCTGGATGTCTCGATCTATGCTCAAATTTGAACTGGTCAGACAAGCTACGCTACATAAGCTATGTTTTGGAAAAACCAGGAAAAGTTTTTGGGTTTTTTCGTTAGAAAATACTTTAAGTTCTTGTCCGAACAGAAGCTTCAAGCCTGTTATTGCGGAGAGTAGGAATTGAGTCCAGATTTAGATCTAGAGCACCTTCTGAAAGAGCATTTGACGCTGACACAAAGAGTTGAATTTGAAAGGATGTCTTTCAGAAAGCCATTAAGGTAGGCAGTAATAATAATAATAGTAATAATAATAATAATAATAACAATAATAATAATAATAATAATAATAACAATAATAACAATAATAATAATAATAATAATAATAATAATAATAATAATAATAATAATAATAATAGAAAAAATAATTTAAAAAATAATAAAAATAGTAATAATAGTAATAATGATAATAATAATAATAATAATAATAATAATAATAATAATAATAATAATAATAATAATAATAATAATAATAATAATAATAATAATAATCTCAAGAGCATAAATGCTCTATGTGCTTTACAACAATCATTACCCCTAGCAGACCCCTGAGAACACTCAGAAACATTCTCGGCTTCCACGGAAGCATACAGTGCAAGCTGCGGATTTCACGCGCTCAAACACTATCAAACTGACAAGATCGTTCACTGTCTATAGCCGGGTACCATTTCTACCTGGGTGAAGTGAGGAAAATTTGTGCAAAGTGCCTTTCCCAAGGGCACAACGCCGGGCCCGTGACGGGATTCGAACCCACGACCTTACGTTTGCGAGTCCGAGAGCCTAACCACTAGGCCATGAACGAAACGGTATGAAATGAGGAAAAGTAATTGAGAAGCAGGTTTCTCGTCAGTCATTATTAATTATTATGTCTGCCTATCAAGGAATAACCCCAGACAGTGGGTGGTTGGCGGGTGCTCTGTTGTGGTTTGCTTCTTTCGTCCTATTAAACATTTATCGTCCTTATCTCCCTTTCCTCTTTTTTATGTTTGTTACTCTCTTGTAACGCGTCTAATGTGACTTTATGCCGTTGCGAGCGCCGAAAAACCTCTACTAACCCCAGAAAACGATCTGTAGAGAAAAAACAATGAGTGCGAGTTTTTAAGGGAGGTGAGACAAAGTGAGAATTTTCTACGGTCTGTTTGGTTCAGAGAAGAGGCTCATGACTACCTATTTGGAAAAGTTAGTTCTGGAAAAGTTGTTACACAATTTTGTCACCCAATTCCAAACAGAGAAGGTGGTTAACTCCAAGCAAAGGAGTTAGCTCTTGTCTTATTCGTCTGGGGGGAGGGGGGAAATGTAGCACCGCAGAACTGATATAATTCCTTACTCCGTGCATTAAGGAGTTAACCCCTTCTTTACTGCGTCTCAGCCTTATGGGAGAACATCGGATCCGGGCATCATAATCATTGCCTCTCTCACCCTGCATCAGGGTATAGGCCACGGACAAACACCCTCCACTTTTCTCTATCTTGGGCTAGCCTCTTGATGTTATTCCATGTCTTCCCACTTTTCTGTATCGATTTCTGTGACTCTTCTTCAAGTTCCACGAGTTCTTCCCCTTGATCTCTTGCCCTGTGGGTTCCAATCCAAAACTTTACTTATCTGCCCTCATAGAAAACAATACTTGTTCCCCCTAGCTGAGCTGCTTCTGTCCAGACTGTATCCAGTGTGTTTCGCTGACTCCTAGTATGTGTAGCCTGTATCTCTTCATCTCTTGTACTACTTGAGAACTCTATCCTGCTTCATACAAGGTGCAAACATTCCACGACGCAATCCGGAGAGACTTGTTCGACAGAGAAGGTTTCGGGTCAGAAGAGTCCTTTCGGCTTTGTCCGCTGTCCTTCATTGTTCCTCCTGATGCAGAAGCTCCTCCGTCTCCCAAGATGGAAAACTTATCAGGCATTTTTGTTCGTGTTTCTATAACTTTCCTTTTTTACTGGGTCGGGTAGTTGGCCCACCGCAAACTGTCACTTTTCAGGTGGCCAGACCTATGCACCTTAAGTCGCCTCTTACGACACACAGTATCACGGCAGGTGTATTCTTTATTCCCCCATAGTAAAATATGGGGCCCCCCACCTGCAGGTTACATAATTTGTATATAATTTTATCCCCAAGGCTTCGTCATTTCCTGTAAACGCTGTGTGATCCCTGCAAAATATTTTACAATAATGTTCCATCTAGCCGTCCGTATGTTTGTGCTCTCATTTTTTAAAAATGTTAATTAATTTTTTTAAAAATTTTAAACATGTTTTTTGTTGTGTATTTTTTTTTTGGGGGGGGGGGGGTAATTCAAATCTTAGTAAACCTCTGACAACAATCTCAGACTTACTGAAGTGTGGCACTATCAGCTTGAGGTGACCATGAGAGTTTTAAGTTTTACCCATGGATACGGTACCTGAAAAGAAAGAAAGAGAGGTTTAGATTATTCTTTGACTTGAACAGGTTGTAAGCCTATTTCCAGCTTTGTCGCAACAAGTTTTGTTTGGAATGTAAAAAAAGGTTATTATCTACAACACAAAAAGATAGCTTTCAAGATACCAGCATGCAATACTCACCAAAAATGATAACAGTAGAGAGATGATAGTTGCAGTACATGCAAACCGAAATTTAAGATGAGTGAGTGAAGCAAGTCAAAGCAATAATGCAACATTTAGTCTTTAGTCAATAGAATTATGCAAATTTAGAAGGCCAAATTATGCACACAAAAAAAGCAAAATTATGCAAATATTATGCAGGTTACCGTAACACCATTCGCGACATGTTTTGCACTTTTTCAACGCGAAGTTTCATGATTTTCATGTTTTATGTACAGAAAAATTGAAAACAGAACATATCAGTACCAGTAATTTGTTGTGTATTTGGAAAAGAAAACAATACACATCAATTTTTTAAAAAAACCGACTAAAATATATGATCTCTGTAACTTTCAGCTGTAGATCTAGATCTATGAAGGAAAGAAAAATTCAAAAAAAAAAAAAAAGGACGTCTGGACTTCTGATGCAGGCTCATTACTAAAACCAGGGACACCTGCCAAACATGAAACATCAGCAGACATGAGAACAACAACTTTTGATGGATTGAAAAATTGAACATGCTCAAGGAACAAAATCCCAACCCATAACCAAGATCTTCTAACAAGGGAAATAACCAACTTTTCACTTAAATGAGACTTATTGCGGTGATTACGTCCCTTTAGTCACATGGCGGGGCGTTAAAAGGGG